GGAAAATCACAAAATAGTGGAATCTTATGTATACCCCCATGTACCCAATATTTCAAGAGTCGAGTATGGCGTACCCGAACACGTACCAGAGCAAATCGCGAAACAAGATGTGACTATGAAGCAACTTTTCTCTTGTTCTGCTTCCTCCCACGTGTCCTCTTTAGTTTTCAGCTAGTGGAGGCCTAGAGCTAAATGACCTAAACTTATTGTACTTTGAAGAAATCAAAAAAGTTTTAGTACTTTCACTTTGGCCCGAGGTCCTTGGAGAGTATCATTTCTTTTATTTATGTTATTTGATATACATTGATATATGAATTAAGTTGTAACTTGTGATTCATGTTACGATATCACAATTTACACTTTTATTTCCTCTCCATGGCTTATAAAGTATATTAGAAAGAAGAGTAGAGAAGAGAAGTGTTTTCATCTTGTAACAGAATTCTATTATTCTATTTTTCTGTTAGTTACAAAAGGCTCCTTGATGCTTTATATACAGCATCAAGGGTAACCTGCTATTACAGGTTTGAGCACACTGAAACTTACAACTGTCAGTCAAATATATAAAACAGAAATAGCTACCCTAAGTTTGTGTATAAGCTTCAAAAATTTGGTGGAAGCCAAGGGCTTAGTCAACACATCAGCAATCTGATCAGTGCCAGGAATATGCAGCACCTGAATTTGTTTGGCCAGAACCTTTTCCCTCACAAAAAATAGACCAATCTCCATATGCTTAGTTCTGGAATGCAAAACAGGATTATGAGCTAATAGGACAGTTGACTGATCATCACACAGTATGATGGGAGGCTCGGTTTGAATACATAGTTCCTGCAACAGTGTCTGTATCCAAAGAAGGTCAGTTGTAGCTTGAGCTAAACTTCTGTATTCAGATTCAGTGCTGGACCTAGCAACAACTGGTTGCTTCTTTGACCACCAGGCAACTAAATTAGCTCCAAAGAAAATAGCAGCACCAGATGTACTTCTTCTGTCATCTGGATCTGAAGCCCAATCAGCATCATAGTAGACATGAAGAGAGGGAACAGCCTGAGGGGAAAGAGGAGTGAGAGATAAACCATGATTTAGGATACCTTTCAAATATCTGAGAAACCTTTTGATAGCCTGCCAGTGAGAATCAAGAGGATGTGACATAAACTGACACACTTTGTTAACAGCATAGGTCAAATCTGGTCTGGTGATGGTGGCATACTGCAAGGCACCAACTACAGATCTGTACAGAAAAGGATCAGAAAAGGCTGCAGATCCGGTTTTGGTGAGTTTGCAGGTGGACTGCATAGGAGTGCTAACAGAACAGGCTTCTAACATGTTAGTTTTCTGCAACAAATCTTTGAGATACTTAGTTTGAGTGAGAAGCATAGAACCATTAGCTGACTGCTTGACCTCAATGCCCAGAAAATAGTCAAGATCCCCAAGGTGCTTGAGAGAGAAAGCAGAATTAAGCTTGTGAATTACCTCATTGAGAAGAGCAGTAGAACTGCCTGTGAGGATAATATCATCTACATAAACAAGTAGATAAAGAGAGTGCCCTTTTGAGAAGTAGGTGAAGAGAGAGGGGTCACACTTGCTGGCTTTAAAGTTGAGCTTGAGAAGAGTTGATTGCAGTCTCTCAAACCACTGCCTTGGAGCCTGTTTCAGGCCATACAAAGCCTTGTTGAGTTTACACACCAGAGAGGAATCAGAGTGAACAAACCCTGGAGGTTGTTCCATGTAAACTTCTTCAGCAAGGAGTCCATTAAGAAAGGCATTATTTACATCCAACTGCTGAATAGACCACTTGTGGATAATGGCAATAGTGAGAATGATCCTGATAGTAACAGGCTTCACAACAGGTGAAAAGGTCTCAGTAAAATCCAGCCCGTGCCTCTGATGAAAACCTTTGGCTACCAACCTGGCCTTGTATCTGTTGATGGTGCCATCAGGATTTTCCTTGAGCCTAAAGACCCACTTGCAGCCAATAACATTCTTGTTGGGGGGTAAAGGCACAAGAGACCATGTGACATTTTTTTGTAAGGCATCAAATTCATCTTGCATAGCTGCCTTCCAATGCAAATCAGCAAGAGCCTGTTTAACAGATTTAGGCTCAGAGTGAGTAAGAAACACCCTAGGATCCAGTCTAGGCTGAGAGAATCCAGATTTGGCCCTAGTTATCATAGGATGAGAGTTCTGAGGGATAACAGACACAGGAATAGCATTAGGGGGCACATGTGGTTCAGAATCAGTGTCTGAAGATGAGCTGAATAAAGGATCAGCCTGACTAGAGAAGGATGAGAGTGTCCCGGAGGAGTTGCTGGCAGTAGTAGGTGAAGGAGCTGCAGAACTACCAGCTGGTGATGAATCCTTAGGGCTAGAAGGGACAGAGGTGGGAGCATGAACAGATGAGGTAGTAGGAGAGGCAGGTTGGAGTCATTTGAAGAACTAGGGATAAGAGATTGTGAAGAAGTGATGTGAGGAGTAAGAGCACTCAAAAGGGGGCTAGAGTAATGGGGTGCCAAGGATGTACTGTGGTTGGAAATAACACTGGGTCTGGAAGAAAATAAATCTAGATATGGAAATCTAGACTCATTAAATAGAACATCCTTTGAGATGTATAACCTGCCATTAGGAGTCAGACACCTATAGCCTTTGTGAGAGGTGGAATATCCAAGAAAGAGGCATTCTTGAGATCTGAAGTTAAGTTTCTGAGAAAGATAAGGTCTCAAGAAAGGAAAACAAGCACACCCAAAAACTTTCAGAAACTTGTAATCAGGCTGCTGATGGAATAGAAGAGTGTAAGGAACCTCAAAATGAATGGAAGCAGATGGCAGCCTGTTAATAAGATATACAGCAGTGGAGAACGCATAATCCCAATATGTTAAGGGAAGGGAAGCCTGACTAAGCAAAGTAAGCCCTAAGTCTACTATGTGCCTGTGCTTTCTTTCAATGACACCATTCTGGTGGTGTGTATGTGGACAGATAAGACGATGGTTAATACCCACCTCAATTAGATATTTAGTAAATGGCCTGAATTCACCCCCCAGTCAGACTAAACAGCTTTAATACATGACTCATGTTGCAATTCAACCAACGCTTTAAACTTTTGAAAAACAAGAAATGGCTTCAGACTTAGCTTTAAGAAGATAGATCCAAGTAAACTTGGAATAAGCATCCACAAAGGACATATAATACAAGAAACCAGATGCAGAGGCATTAGGTGAGGGCCCCCATAGGTCAGTATAAACAAGTTCAAGGGGGTTTGTGTAAATTGTGTGTGAAGTGGGAGCATGTAACCTGTGGAATTTACCCATATAGCAAGCAGAACAGAACATATCACAAGTTTTATTACTGAACTGAACATTACAATGTTGCAAAACAAGCTTGAGAGCATGATTGTTAGGGTGCCCTAACCTAAGATGCCACATGTAAGGCAAGCTATTAGAAAGAGAAACAGTATTAGCACTAGGTGCAGCATTATTGGAGGAAAAACTAGTAGAATGCAACAAAGACTTAGCAGATTGTGACACATCAATAAAGGGAAACGCATAGAGTCCATCAGCTCCTACATGACCTTCAAGAAGAGTGGCATCAGACACCTGACATTTAACAAGACACTTGTCAGCTGAGAATAAAAAGTACACATGGTTATCCTTAGAAAACTGACTAACATTAAGCGGGTTCTTAGTGATAGCAGGAACAAGGAGTAAGTTCTTGAGAGTGAGGTGGTGTGTGGTAGGATGAAAAGGTGAAGGAAAAGAGCTTGAACCAGCAGACTGAATAGTCAAACCTTGTCCATTACCAATGTAAATTTGATCATGGCCTTCAAAAGGAGTCACATGTTGTAAGTTCTTTGCATCACTATGGTATGAGGCGCCAGAATCAGGAAACCAGATGGAGATGGGGAAGCATTTGCCACAAAGGTACTTGGAGGTTGTGTAATGGCAGGAGGATAAGAAGGAACAACAGGGGGCCTAGACCACACATAAGGAGAGGCTTGAGGTGGTGCTTGAGTGTAATAGGCATGAGCACCCTGCCATTGAGATTGCACATAGTTTGCACCAGAAGATTGGAACTGGTTATTAAACCTGTGTCAGCACTGTAGGGCAGAATGACCAGGTTTGGAGCAAACTTGGCACTGGATATTAGAATTGGAGAATCTGCCACCTCTGCTACGGCCAAACCTACTACCACGATGACCTTTTCCACCTCTAAAAAGTTGATAATCCTGCACTTGATTAGAGTGACCAGTGTGAGCAGAGGAAGAATCAGTGACAGGTGCTGGAGACTCATTTGTTGTTGGTGGTTGAGGCACAGCATGAGTTAGGTTGAGAGAAACCAAATCTAGAATTGGCTGCTTCTTGAACTTGTTCAAGCGCAGCTCATGAGCCACTAGCAGAATTTCAACCTCATCAATGTCCATAACTCCAAATTTGCTTTCAACAACAGACACAACCGGAGCAAATTCAGCAGGCAAGCCCTCAAGAATCACATCAATGTGATGCGACACAGGAATTGGATCACCAATAGATGCAAGCGCATCAACAATGGTACGGATCTTCAGCAAATAGTCTTGAACAGAAAGAGTGTCAAGTGTAAGAGCACGCAATTCAACACGCAGATGGTGTGCCCTAGCACGAGTTTGTTTATGAAAATAGCTGAAGAGACGATCCCACAATTCATGAGAGTGGTTACAGCCAAGCACGCGTGAGAGAATCTCACTGGAAAGTGTAGATTGAAGCCAGGACAACAGCAATTGGTCCTTCTGAATCCAGTGAGAATACGCTGGATTGACAGAGCCAGAACGGCGAGCGGCATCGTCAACAAATTTCACTGGAACACGAGCGCATACCACCAGATCTGTGAGATCATGCGCATTGATGTAAGGTTCTACCTGTTGACGCCAGAGATGGAAGTTCTTTTCATCCAGCTTCTGCGCAATCTTGAGCGAGAAGTGCAAGCGGCGAGAATCATCCACCATCGGCGACGGAAACGGTGTTGGTTCAGGCGAAACCCTAGCGGAAGACGGAGGCGATGGCGAAGCGATCGTAGCCATGGATCGACTCAGCAATCTGATACCATATTAGAAAGAAGAGTAGAGAAGAGAAGTGTTTTCATCTTGTAACAGAATTATGTTATTCTATTTTCCTATTAGTTACAAAAGGCTCCTTGATGTTTTATATACAGCATCAAGGGTAACCTGCTATTACAGGTTTGGGCACACTGAAACTTACAGTTGTCAGTCAAATATATAAAACAGAAATAGGGACTAAGCTACTTATGTATTCAATACAGTAAAATCATGATTTTAACTACTTTATTTATGTTCTATTTCTCACTAAAAAATTTCCATCTTTAACCCCAAAACCAGAGGAGTACTTAAAAGTTGGTCCCTAATACTCAAATTGCACACAAAGGCTTCAATGAAAAGAGATATTCAAAAGTTACAATTACCTCCTGTATTCTGTTTTCTTTTAGATCATCTCCATGAAATAGTGTCTGTAATGTCAGTAAAAGAGACACGGTGAAAATATACATACACAAAGCCATTACTATACAAGTTATACAAATTGTACGGCCGGAAATTGCCATTATCACACAAGTAATACCAAATTTACAGCAAACCTTCGCATCAAGCTGCAGATACAAGGATGGAGAATCTTCCCATTGCTCGGCCATTCTCTCTATGTCTTGCTGTGTAAATCCATGGACATTCCTAGCAGCACAACCCTGAATACAGAAAAATAGTTAAACCTACATAATACTGAAAAACATTTAATAATACAAGAGAACTGTCATTGATCATGATGAAAACAAGAAAATGCTTACAATCTAAAAAACGAACATCTAATCCAATATTAAATATTTTGGATTGTCATTAAAGAAAGTTTATTTACTTTTGCACCGACCAATAACGATAATTAACTGGGTGTAATTCTAAAACAAAACAAAATGAGGCTCCATGTTGCTCGGTGGAAATCAATAAACGTACCACTGGATCCTTGTAAGTAGCTTCTAAAATGTAAACTTCGTAACCCGATCTCTGAAGGAAAGAAGAATGTTCGTCAGCAAAGGAAGCGTTGAATAAATATATCTTGTGTGACTCTTCAATTCATACGCATATTTAGCTATGATATAAATATTGATGGTTACAATAGTACAGATGCCCCCTGGCATTCATGCATCAACTTCAAATGGAATCATCTTTAAATTCAAACATAAGAAACTAGAACTTCAGTAGGAGAAGGCGGCTCATTTTCACATAAGGCAATGGAACAGGAAGTAGCAACAGTATTACTTAAAATAACACTCTGATATTCATTTGTCATTGACATCCATGTGCAGCACTTGGGTTATTCATAGCAAGTTCTAAATTCAACAAGACAGGCAGCTAGAAAGCATAAAAAATATAGATAATTTTCAGTGGTTCATTATCAGCTCAGTTATTTGCAATTATTAACTTCAAATGTTTTATTACCAATATTTTTCTACCCTCTTTTCTACTTTTCTATATATAATCATAATAAGAAACAGAAGTGCATGCTTTTACAAAACAAAACTAATAGAAGGCAAGTGAAACATATGTCTAAAACTATTTCTGAGGGTGAATGGAGAGAGTATTACAAAGATATTGTGAGTCGTCTTGAGCATACATGGCAGAGGTTGCTAGCAAAAAAAGAATTAATGGTATACCTTTGCAGTTGCCCAAAATTGAGCAAAATCAGCTACCCGCAGATTGCGGTCATCCACTAAGACGAGGAACAAATACCACCAAGAAAAGGGTCAATTGCCGAACAAAACTGCATCTGTAGTTAGTTAACATATAGGTGGTGCATGGGCACTGCATCACCACTTAATCTAATAGGAAACTACACATTTGAATTTATCATACTTCATAGCAAGTCGGTTCATAGCCCTCCAATCACTCTCTATTTTCATGCTTAAGTTCTTTAAATTAACCCAAGAAACAAAATTTTCAATTTTCAGTCTCTGAATTAACTATAACTAATTTCACTTGATCACATCTGTCAGAGGAGATTAAGCCTATGATTGAGTACTTAGTGTGTTTCTATTACCAATAAATCAAAAAACAGTGTCACGCTAGTGGGTATGGAACTCATGACAAAATGCAAGATTTTTCATCCAGAGCAAAACTGCAACCTCAAACTATGTCAAATATCCAAAATAGTGGAATTCGTTTGTCTTAACTTATAAGAATAATTTAGCCAACACATTCGTGATGCATACCTATAATAAAGGTAAAAGCTCCCTCGTCAACAGTTTTCTTGAATGCTTTCAACATGCTTGATCGATAAGCCTGCAATGGCGGGAGTGCAAAAAAATGCATTGTGATTCAATGTGTATAACATATTAGAGCATAGAATGTTGACATTTTCCAGTATGTCTTTTAAAAAAAACTTATTTATAGAAGACATCCAATGCAATAATCGCACCCCCCCCCCCCCCTTCTTTTTCTCTCCTCATCAGCAGGGAAATTACAAGGACATCATAAATCTCATACTACATATCGAAACAAATGACAGAAGGCATTTAAAATATAAACTAAATAAAAAAAATATGGAAAAACTACACATAACAATGCAAATAGCAGTTACCTCCTCCATTTCAGGTTCATAACAATACTCCATGACCTTTTTTGTTACAGGCCTCTTGTTTCTTCCTGAACTTGAAGATTTTGATCCATCATTATCATCAACCTTTTCAACCAAAAATACAAATATTAACACCGCATCCACCAGAACTTACCACATAATCAATCAAAACCTCATATATGACAAGATAAGAATGCTTTGTCGCAAATACAAAGCCAGTATGAATATTCAACAACCTTTTCAACCTCAGTCATAAAATAATCATCCATAGAATGAATTCGTGGAGCATCACCACCATTTTCGACTTCTAGATCACGCAACATCTTTGCCAAGTAACTCTTACCACTGCCTGAAAAGGACACAAACATGTAGAAAAAATCTCAACAGAAGAAAATAATCAAAAACCGCAATATGTAAAATGGGCAAGAAAATACTGTCACTGATACAACATAAACATAAAAGCCTTCTCACATCACAATCCAAGACCAAGAAATCGCAAGCAGCAGGAGCTTCCTCTACATATGCAACTCAGACATGAAGGAAATTACAAACATTTGTGTCATCCACAAAATCCAAGACGTGTAAAATTCCTTATTCACAATTATATTATTGATGAATTTGCTCCACACTAAACCCAGTGGCGGATGAGGCCATGTCCGCTTCAAATATTTATCATTTTCCGTTTCCAAATAGAACTAGTGTTAATTCAATAGTGTAGTGTAAGACCTTGTTTTGCTACTCGGATGCCACGAGTTTGATTCCCCTATAGACTATATTTTTTCATTTTAGAGTGAGGATAAATGGTATAGATTGAATTCATATCGATATACCACCACATAACTTATTAATGATTTGGTATAAATATAGTCTTAAAATATATATTGTTGTCAAAGAAATCTACCAAGCTTCGCCACTGACTATACTTATCCCCTTTATCTAACCAAACAAATGGCCTATGACCTAGTGAATAATCATCGAACAAAGTCAATTTGCATAACAATAACAATTCACCAACACAACTCTGGACCAACAATAGCAATTAATAACACAAGCAACGAAAAGTGCACCTGGTAAGCCACGAAGTATGATCACAAAATGGTCAGGACGTGAAGTTCGGAGTGGCTTCAGAAATAACTGGGAAGCATCAACAAACTTAGGCTTCTCAGCAGACAATTGATTCAGTGGAAAAGATTGAGCACCTCCCAAGTACTGTTTCGAGGGTTCCTGACAGAAAATAAAAGTAAACACTGAGTAAACAAAAGCTAGCAGCAGCATGAAACAATGACAACAAGCATAAGCATCATTAGTATACCTCCATAGGAAAGCTATTGGAAAATTCTGGATGGTGGGGTTTATTAGTGTGAAAATAAGGTTGGGGAAACGGATGAGGTTCATGAGAAACGGAAGAAGCGACCGGAAAAAGAGAAGGTGGTTTCTTAGGTGGAGAAAAGTATGTTTTGAACTGATTATTGGGTGGATCTATAGGAAGAGGTGGCGGCGGAGAAGTAGGAAGCGGAGGCATGTTCCTGAAGAATCTAGAAGCTTCCATTTGACAGGTATTCTCAGAAAAACTGTTGTTGCCACCACTAGGGTGATGGTTTTGATATGGATAGGGATAGGGATGGTGCAATTCTCTTGTATTCAAGTTATGATTATTATTATCATGATGATGATGATGATGATTCGCTTGTTGAGCTTGAAAGTGGAAATTGTGATCGTGGTAAGGTGCATTGATCTCGATGTGGTGTTGTTGAGGATGATAAATCGGAGTAGAAGCGTTGTGAAGATGTGGCGGTGGCGATGGTGGTGGTGGAGGAAATGCGTCACAGTGATGTTGCGGTGGTGGTGGTGGCGGCGGTGTGACGTAGGCGTGGTGAGGAGGTTGAAATGGAGGCGGATTGAAACCGTGATCTCGAATAAGCTTAAGTCTTCGTTCGTCGTCTTGGATTCTAGGTTTTTTGAAGGTTCTATCGAAATCGGCGTCGTAAGTGGTGCTAGGGTTAGGTGGTGGTGGTGGTGGCGGCGGCGACGGCCAATTAGGAGACGGGGAAGGGCAAAAAGGGAAGTGATGGGTTAAGCAATTAGGGCAGAGATTGTTTTGGTAATGGATTGGTCTGGGATTGGGACGCCATTGACGATCCATTGAGGAGATTCTTCGGGGATTGAGATGGAAGTTGGAACCCTACTGAAGTGACTTGGAATAATAAGCAGACGGAGAAAAAGCGCGTTCTATGTGTGCTGTATTTACGTACTTAGATCAAGATGCTATCTCATGATTCAATAAGGATAACATATTTTTCATTAAAAAACTGAAATGATACTCTTACACCGTTAAAATATTTTTTTTTAAATATAAAAATTAATTTTACTCATATTTATTTTGATTTATTTCAAATAAATACAAAGTAAATTGTATAAAATATTTAGAGATGGACTTTGGTCTTTGGGCTACTGTTTTGTTCCGTCTAGAAGTTCAAGATTTCGTGCAAGCTTTGTCCAAGTTCATCCAAATTTGAAAATGACATGAAATTATTAAAAAGGTATTTTTTTCAAATATTGATCATGGTTTAAAAACAAAAGTTTTGGGCTTGATTATTTCCATGTTATCATGTTCCCTCCATATCCTCTATATATACCACCTTCTTGCTAGCATCTCACATGCAGAAAGCAGACTAGAAGAACTCTACAAAATTTACAAAAAAAATCAAAATTGTCAAAAGTGGTATTTGCATTTCCAACTATCTTCAATCCAAGACAAGGGCATAACCCATTCCTTGAGAGTTCAAGGAGTCACGTCCAACCCTCATACGAACCTGAAACGAGTCAGAACGCCATATCTCCATCTCACTAATCGGTAAAACTTTTCTCAATCTAACCCATAAATTTATGCATTGTTAATTCATTTTGTTTGCATAGATCATGTAGCATAATTGTTTAGAACATATTTGACGTATTGCTTTTGAGATTTGACGCAGGGATGGCAAAGCATCATTGTTAGGGTTCTGTTGTATCCCAAAATTTGCCCTCTCATTTCTCAAAGGATCAACCTAGACCCTCAGGTTTGCTTCCATCCAATTTCAAACCTTGAATTACAAATTTTCCAAGAAAGTCATTCACAAGGGCAAAATGGTCATTTGCACATTAAAAAGTCAAACTTTGACTTTTAGATCAAAATCAAACTTCAAGAATCATATTCCATCAAGACACATTGAAATATGAAGTTTGTTTCATCAAGAAATTCAAAAGTCAAAATTCTAAATGCTTAGAATTTTTTTAAGTGTTTAAGAAATATGACAAGCTCATAACTTCTGATCAGATTATCACCATGATGCAAGTTGATTCTGTAAAAACTTCTGGCACAAAAGTTATAGATTTCAATAAGATCTAAAACATCGCATAACAGAACTTCTCCTGGAAATGATGGAATTCCAAGTTATAAATGTTCAAAGACACGTCCATGAAACTAAAGCACTCAGCAAATTCTGGACACTTTCAAGACAGAGTTTGGTCAGAACTTCTGGACCAGTTTTCACAAATGTCGACAAGAAAAACAAGAGCATAGCACTTGTATCTAATACTGAAGATGAAAACAAGGAGGATGAAGAAGAAAATATTTCAGAAGCTATAGCCATGCTTGGAAGACAATTCAACAAACTCATCAAGAGAATAGATCCAAAGTCAAGGTCAAATGTTAAGAACATTCCTTCTGACATTAACAGATCCTATGACTCCAGCAGAAGACCAAAGTCTGAAGAGAAGGGAAATCAAAGTAAAGGAATTCAATGCCATGGATGTGAAGGATATGGGCACATTCGAGTTGAATGTCCTACCTTTCTTAAGAAACAAAAGAAAGGAATGTTTGTTACTTGGTCTGACTGTGATTCATAAAGTAATTATGAAGAAGAATCTGCCAAACTAGTTACTGCACTAACTGGTATTTGTAACTCTAATAGTGACTCTAGTGATGAGGAAGTGACATTTAAAGAACTGGCTGATTCCTACAAGAAGTTATGTATTAGAAGTGCTGAAATTTGTCAGCAAAATGAGAGACAAACAAAACTCATAATAAAGTTGGAGGCTGAGAAAAAGGCAGGCATTGATACTATAAGTCATCTAGAAGGGGAAGTTCAAATTCTAAACTCAAAACTGGACCAGATGACCAAATCTGTCAAGATGCTGACAAACGGAACTGACAAATTGGAAGAAATCCTTCAGATTGGACAAAATGTGGGAAACAAGTCTGGTCTAGGATTTGTGGCAGCAAAGAAATTTGTTATGGACAAGAAGAAGATCAGGCCTGATAAACAAATGTCAAAGCAGATGTCACAACATAGAACTTAACATCGAGAACAGAGAAATATGAAGAAAAAGTATCAAAGATGGAGATGTCATCATTATGGGAGGTTTGGTCACATAAAGCCATTCTGCTTCAGATTATATGGATATCCTAATCAGACCTCAGTTGTCAAACCTAAGTCTAACAAGGTACCACATACTCAACAGTGGAAGAAAAAGGCTACTGCCCTGATAGCTCATACCTCCCTTAGAGTCTCTGCAAAGGAAGACTGGTACTTTGACAGTGGATGCTCTAAACACATGACTGGAATCAAGAATCTTCTCAATAATGTTAAACCTCACACTACTAGTTATGTGACCTTTGGAGATGGTGCTAGAGGAGAAATCAAAGGAGTTGGAAACTTGGACTGTCATGGAGTTCCAAACCTAAATGAAGTATTGCTGGTAAAAGGCTTGACTGCTAATCTCATAAGTATAAGCCAATTATGTGACCTAGGATTCAAGGTCAACTTCACCAAGTCTTAATGTCTTGTAACTAATGAGAAACAAGAAGTTGTAATGAGAGGAGTCAGATCTAAAGACAACTGCTACTTGTGGGAGCCTAAGAACACTAATTACTCTTCTGTGTGTTCTATTGCCAAAGAAGAAAAAGAAGTGAAACTGTGGCACCAAAAACTTGGTCATCTACATCTAAGAGGAATGAAAAGGATTATATCCATGGAGGCAGCCAGAGGGATTCCAAGACTGCAAATTGATGAAGGGAGAGTCTATGGTGAATGTCAGGTTGGGAAGCAGACTAGGATGTCACATCCAAAGTCAAGATATTTGACCACCTCTAAGGTACTAGAACTTCTACATATGGATCTGATGGGACCAATGCAGGTGGAAAGTCTTGGTGGAAAAAGATATGCCTATGTTGTTGTGGATGATTTTTCCAGATTCACCTGGATTAACTTCATTAGGGAAAAATCTGATGTATTTGAAGTGTTTAAAGAACTATGCAAAAGAATTCAAAGAGAAAAAGAAGGGTGCATTGTCAGAATCAAAAGTGAGCATGGCAAGGAATTTGAAAACAGTAAGTTTGATGAGTTCTGTTCCTCAGAAGGAATTAATCATGAATTCTCTTCACCTATAACTCCTCAGCAAAATGGAGTTGTAGAAAGGAAAAACAGGACCATACAGGAATCTGCCAGAGCAATGATACATGCCAAAAGACTTCCTATTCATTTTTGGGCTGAAGCTATGAATACAGCCTGTTATGTCCATAACAGGGTCACCTTGAGAAAGGGAACATCATCCACCATTTATGAACTCTGGAAAGGAAGAAAGCCTACAGTGAAGTACTTCCATGTATTTGGAAGCAAATGTTATATTCTGACAGATCGTGAACAAAGGAGAAAGATGGACCCTAAAAGTGATGAAGGAATATTCCTAGGATACTCTACCAACAGCAAAGCTTATAGGGTATTCAATTCCAGGACCAAAGTTATGATGGAATCAATAAATGTCATAGTTGATGATTATCATGAGGAAACAGATGTCCCTTGTGATGTTGAGACATTCTTTGAGACTTCAACTCAACAGGATGATCTACCTAACACTACTACTTCAGATTCTGAATCAAAGGAAGCTAACAAAGACCCTTCCATCAGAATTCAGAAAGATCATCCTAAGGAACTCATTATAGGAGATCCTAACAGTGGAGTCATTACAAGATCTAGAGAAATCATCTCAAACTCTTGCTTTGTATCTAAAATTGAACCAAGAAATGTTAAGGAGGCTTTAACTGATGAATACTAGATTGGAGCAATGCAAGATGAATTGAACCAATTCAAGCAACATGAAGTATAGGAGTTAGTTCCTAGACCAGAAGGAACAAACATCATTGGCACAAAATGGATCTACAAGAACAAATCAGATGCTGAAGGAGTTGTCACCAGGAATAAGGCAAGACTTGTAGCTCATGGATACACTCAAGTTGAAGGGGTTGATTTTGATGAGACTTTTGCTCCTGTAGCCAGACTGGAATCAATCAGACTCCTGTTGGGAATTGTTTGTCTCCTTAAGTTCAAGTTATTTCAGATGGATGTAAAAAGTGCCTTCCTAAATGGGTACTTAAATGAGGAAGTTTATGTGGAACAGCCTAAAGGATTTGTGGATCCAAACTAACCTGATCATGTCTACAAATTGAGGAAAGCTTTGTATGGCCTGAAACAAGCTCCTAGAGCATGGTATGACAGGCTGACAAAATTTCTCTCTGATAAAGGATACAGAAAAGGAGGCTTGGATAAAACCCTTTTTGTCAAAAATGAAGGAGGAAAGATGATGGTAGCTCAAATCTATGTTGATGACATGGTGTTTGGGGGAATGTCAGATAAAATGGTTAAACATTTTGCTGACCAGATGCAGGCTGAATTCGAAATGAGCCTCATGGGAGAATTGACCTACTTTCTTGGACTGCAAGTCACACAGATGGAAGACTCAATTTTTCTGTCTCAAAGCAAGTATGCAAAGAACATTTTCAAGAAGTTTGGAATGGATAATGCCAGTCACAAAAGGACTCCCGCACCTACTCATTTAAAGCTATCCAAAGATTCAAGTGGGGTTAAGGTGGACCAAAGCTTGTACAGAAGCATGATAGGAAGTCTGCTATACTTAACAGCCAGCTGACCTGACATTGCTTTTGCAGTTGGAGTATGTGCAAGATACCAAGCTGATCCCAAAGTAAGTCATATCAACCAAGTGAAGAGAATTTTGAAGTATGTAAGTGGAACCTACAACTATGGCTTGTTGTACTCTCATGGATGTGAACCAACTCTAACTGGTTACTGTGATGCTGATTGGGCT